TTTTTTATATTTATTTTTATTTATAAATTCATTTTTTATTAAATATTTTTATTTTTTACTTTACTTTTAGGGGCTTCGGCGACATATTAGGGGTCTAACAGGAATCCTCTATGAGTGTTCTTGTTCATTGATAACATGAGATGGTTTGTTTACTATAACTACAATTATGAATGAATGGGGGATGATGTAGATCACTCCCATTCATTCATAATTGAGGATATAGTTAACATACCATATCCTCAATTATATACAAACACTGTGTGTACCTTGCTCTTCTCTCTGACGCAGGAGGCTGATTGAGCGGTGTAGAAAGGAAAGCCCAGCCTCCTGTGACAGCGCTGTCTCCGCCCACACACCAATCTGCCAGACTGTGATAGGCGGCAGAGCGGTGTGGGAGGAGACGCCGGCCACTCACAGCGCTCTCCACCGCAGCACTCGGCCGGCTGTCACTTTCTCTTCTCCCCGCTGGGACATAGAGCAGCACCCAGCAGGGAGGAAAAAATCAGGGATGCGCCTAAGGTTCGGCAGAAAAATATGGCACTTTCGGCATTATGCCAAAGTGCCATTTTCGGCCGATATGTTTTGGCGGCCGATATATCGGTGCATCTCTACTATTAACTATAGCCTGTACAGCTACCGAAGTGGGCCGAGCGGCTCAGTCGAGCTGAAGGCATATGCTTCGGCTCGACTGAGCTGAGGTGAAAGCCGAAGCTGGCAGGCCAAGGCCGGCCGACAGCCTGCTTCTTACAGCTGGCCGGAACCAGCCGTGATCTTACGGCTGTCTTCGGCCACTTGCAGAGAGATCAGCGTCCTTGGTTACCAGTTAACCAGGGGCGCTGTCATTACACACTGAGAACCCGGCTGGGCCACTATGATATCACAGCAGCCTCTCCGTGTTCTCAGTGTTACCTGGTAACCAGGAACGCCATCTGTCATTCCTCCCCCGGACGCTCTGGGAGTCTAATAGGCTCTCGGCCGCCCTGGAGAGAAACATTTTCTCCCAAAAAGGTTCACTCTGTTAGATCGATCAGAGTAAACCTTTCCCTGCTCGTTTTTTTTTTCTTCTTCTGACAAAAAAAAGAGAAATCACCATCGGAATGCATAGCTAGATTCCTATTGGCTATTTCAATTTGCAATATCCAATAGTAAACTAGCTATTGCATCCCGCCCACTGCATTCGGCTATTTACTCACTGCTGTTCGGCATCTATGAGAATAGACCGGACAGCAGCGAGAAGCCTGCCGGAGGTTCGGCTTAGCCGATCCAGATGTTGGATCGGCTGAGTCGAACTCCTTCTGCACTTCGGGTCGGCCGAATATGCTCAGCATAACCCGAAGCCACCCAATGTATGGCTGATTTCAGCTGATATACAACTGGAATCAGCCGTACCAGCCTGAAGTGAATAGCCGAACAGCGTTCGGCTCACTTCGCTTGGGGTCGGTTAGTCGCCTACGGCAGCTTAGTGAATAGACCCCATAGTATTTGAGGTTGACACAGGCCCATCAAGTTCAACATTTATGTGTAAGTGTGTGTGTAGTGCGTGCATGTGTGTATATGTGTCCCTTGGGGGTCTAAGGTTTTAAGAGTACCTGTACCCCTGTATGTTACGGTCTCTGAGAAAGATATCTAATTGATTTTTTAATGATTCAATACTCTCTGCTGATACCACTGCTTGTGGCAGAGAGTTCCAAAATGTAACCACTCTGACTGAAAATAATCCCCTGTGCCCTGTGTGGTTAAATCTTTTCTTCACCAATTTTAGGTGGTGGCCTCTAGTCTTTGTTAGGGAGTTTAGAGTAAAAAAAGTTTATTGCTGATGTTGCCATCACCACCAAACATTTTGTACATCAAAATCATGTCCCCTCCTAATCTTCTTACATCCAGCATGAAAAGGTTTACATTTAGCAACCTTGTCTCATATCTTTGATCCTCCAGCCCCTTAATTCATTTAGTTGCCCTTCTCTGGACTCTCTCCAGCTCCAGGACATCCTTTCTGTTGATTGGTGACCAAAATTGAACCGCATACTCAAGATGAGGCCGAACTATTGATCTATAAAGTGGCAAGATTATTGCCTTGTCTCTACAGTACATTTCATTTTTAATACAAGACAGTAATTGCTAGCTTTGTTTGCTGCAGCCTTGCATTTTAAACTATTATTCAATCTGTGGTCTACTTTGACCCCCAACTCTTTTTCCATTTCTGATTTCCCTAGTGGAGTTCTCATTAATATGTATTCCGCTTGCCTATTTTTAACCCCAAAATGCATTAGTTTACATGTTTCAACATTAAACCTCATCTGCCATATAGTTGCCCACTCCCCTATTTTATCCATGTCCTCCTGTAATGTTATAATGTCTAAGTCCGTGTCTATTACCCTCCCAATTTTAGTATCATCTGCAAACACAGAAACATGGTATTAACACCTTCCCCGATATCATTAATAAACAGGTGAAACAGTATGGGGCCTAGCACAGAACCCTGGGGCATGCCACTCCTGACACTTGACCAATCTGAGAAAGAGCCATTTACTGATACTCTCTGGACATGTTCCTGTACTGACCTACCCTGCTGTCCCATCTTTACACTTACCATATTTTATGATGTTGTGGTATGATGTTAGGAATGGAGTAGTTCTTACCAATTCAAAGGCAAATTGGGGAAACCTGAAAAACTGTAATAAACATATCACTGCAATATTTACCGTTACATAGTTAGTCAGATTAAAAAAAAAAAGTCCATCAAGTTCAACCTATAGGAAAACAAATATTTAAAATCTCCATGCCACCATTAGCCAGTAAGGCCTTAAATCTGAACACCAGGTAAAAAAAGGTAAATAAACACTACACACATGAAAAACATACAGAAAGATGTTTGACCTGCCCAAGGATTTGCATTTCTGTCCATCCAGTCCTGAGATTTACACAGACCCATCACACAGCACTGCCAGCTGAATGACACCTCTAGATCTGCACAGTATTCCAGATTGTCGCTGTGCAGGAGCTTCCTGTAATAAAGACTGATCGCTGCTGCTCTCTCACCTTGTTCAGAGTGACTGGTCTTGTATCTGCCCCCTCCTGTAGTTTTCTATCAGCAGACTGTAGTGGCTGGGTGTGCTGGATCCCTTCCACACCTTTGTAATAATTCATAATTTGAACAAATTATGTGAAGCAAAGTGATGATGTCACCTCCCATTTAATATGGGAATATCTGGGTTTGCAGAGTGTGATTCATTTAAAATAAGTGTTTGTGTCTGGAGTTCAACTATAAATCTAGAAGTCTTATATGAATTATGTTATAAGAGCCCCTAACTATTCAAAGAGAAGGGAACAGACATATCTCCATATCTTTTACATAATAATAGGGAAATCTAGATACAATTTTCTTTACTCTGCTAATAAACAAGCAAAGTTTACATTTTGAAAATAATTTTTTTACATTTAAAAAAATAAAATAATAGTGCATCAAGTAAACGCCAATGAGGATTACTTTTTCGTTTTTCTTGGCACCCACCGCATTTTCAAAGATTCTCAGATTCCTGTAATATATATGGAACTCATTTAAATCTCCTTGCATATTACTATGTATAAAAACAAACTTAATATAGATATGAAGAATTTTCAACCCACAGTTTTATTTCATTGTTTCAGCAGGACAAACTTTAGCTATATACAGCAGGACTATGTTTCTGTCTTGTTTTTTGCAATAGTGTGGGGAAATGGAGACTGCTTTTGAAAACTGAAAATATGCTGATATTGTGTCGTGGTAAGTTGGATGCATTCCAAAAATAAGAATAACAGAAGAAAAATGCTTACTGACCCCATAGTTCTCCTTTAACTCTGAAAAGGGCAAATTAGATTGCAAAGTGGAAAGTATATTTGCCTTATCAACCACACTGATTCAAAACAAATATGCAAATTAGAAAATCTGATTTTTCTTTGATTTTTCTTTTTTTGCACACTTGTTCTAGGTCAGTGATTCAGAAAGTATTGAAAACAGAGGATCAATATAAGAACCAAGCAACTAGTAATTTCAGAAGGTGCTTAGCAAGCGCTCCTGACAGGTTTACCTTAAGAACTGCAGATCAGTAAATTGTTTCTACCAATCCTTTTTTGTTACCAAAACCTTTAGTTTTCCCAGTGGTGGAAGCTTCATATCATTTGCAACTGCATTGCATGGTAGATGGCCTGTAATTTGACATAATACATTACTGGGAATTTTAATATACTCTGTGGGCAATGGTTTGCACATAAAACATACTATTTGGAATATCTGATGATCACTGCTCAGTTGGATTACCTGGGATTTCTGCATACAAAGTGAATACCCTCAGATGTGATTCAACATACAGAGATACAGGGTATTTGTTATTTCCTTTGGCAACCTTGATATGAATATAGAACAATACATCCCCAAGAGTATAATCTTGAGATCTATTACTTTGAAATGACTGATACCAGACTCTATAAAGCTTGTTTGTACTCTCTGCAGTCCAACATGGGATACAGATTTGCCCTTGCATAGCATCATATAAATTCTCCCATATGTTCTGAAGCAACAGATGCAGCTCTGCAAAATATGTTATAAAACCACCATCCTCCTCCTGCTGATCAAAAGATCTAGATTTTGTAATGGATTATGGACCAACACAAGGACTCCAACAGATTCCTTATAGATCTGGTCCTGTTTTAAAATTAAGTCTCAACAAAATAAACTTTCTTAAAGTATCTATTTTTCAGATTGGATAGAGTTGGTAACAGTTAGATTTCTGTTTTTATTACTGTTTATGTTCCCTTTACGGATATTCACTATGTATAGTTCTCCTGGTTACTATGGTCACTGGCACAGAGTTGTTACCGGAAAAGGAATAGAGAGGAAATCTTCCAGTTTGTTCTGGTGATAACTGTCTAACAGAGGATCTCCATTTCTTTAAGAACATTCCCTCTCACTTTGTGTTGGGTCTCTACCATTCTCTACCAAACTAAACTTAATTTAAAAAGTTTTGACTTTAGGTATTGTATACTTTACCTGCTTCCCATACAGTGTTGGGAGACAAGGGGATGGGGGGGGTACATAGTTACATAGTTGGTCAGGTTGAAAAAAGACACATGTCCGTTGAGTTCAACCTATAGAGATATGAAAAAAAAAGAAGAAAAGCTTAAACAGAACGCTATGCCCACAATTAACCCCTGTTGATCCAGAGGAAGGCAAAAAAGCATGGCACCATGTTATTTGTCTTTTGATAAATTTAGATGGCTACTGTCCTGTGTTCTTTTTTTTCAAATACTTCTCATTATGTTGCATTACAAACAGAATTGTATCTATTATCATAAGGTACTAGCTACCAATTGCACTCTCTGATTTGACTAATTTATTAAGAATTTAAGACCAAACTACAGTTAAAGTTTATATACAAGATAATTTCATAAACGTATGGCATTTTAGACACATCTGTTACATCCTCAAATGAAGAAGACAGCAGTATTTCATTATGAACTTTATAAGTATTTCAGTTTATAAACATACCACTAAAAACTTTGCAAGAAGTCTGGTATTATTCATTCCAAATATAGTTTAAAATGAGAGCGAGTGTGTTTTAATATCAGTTTATCTAGATCTATGCATCGACTTCTACAATGCTTGGAAGTTTATTAAAACCACTTTCTTGCATATTTTTGTTGAGTATTTTCTTCTAAAGCACAGAGGGTTTAAATAATGCAAGCAGCTATATAAACAAGCCTTCAACATATATCACTCAATATGAGATATATTTTAAAAAATAGTGCTTTTTTTGCCCTGAGTTACAGGTGCTCTACAGCTTCAGATACACAACCTTCTGTATAATATTGATTTCCACTCATTTGACATAACTTACAATAAGGTATTAACATCATCAGTCTTTCTACGTATGTGCAATAGATAAGGGACATGTATTAACTCTTCATCAAGATTTACATTGCCTGAAGCAGACTGTGACCTTTTTATCTCCCATATGAAGTTGTGATGCCACAGGCAGACCTCATTGTAGAAACACTATAGAATATAAATGTACAAACTTCATGAAAATTCATAACTGTACATTCCCTGGTACATAAGAAACAATGTACAGAAAGTAATGTTGTCTGTTAAAATAGGTCAAGGTCAAAAAACACGATAAATCTATTTTTTATTGTAGCACTTATAGCTATGTACATTTCTTTAACAGAATCCCTGAGTATATTATGGGATATGCTAAACTGCTGATATATC